CTACGTGGCGTCCGAGGCGGCCTTGGGCGCCGCGGGAGAGCAGGCGAAGCGCATCGCCCGGGCGCTGTCAGAGGTGCTGCCGCAGGTCGTGCTGCGGAAGGCGACGGATGAAGCGGGTTGGGGCAGTGGTGCTGTTTGGGCAGCGGTTTTGGGCAGGGAGTTGTGTATTGCGGCCAGGTAGCATGTATAAAATGTATCGAGGTATTATGAGATGTATCTTCAGTTGACCTCGTTTGAGAAGCTGTTCATAGCGGTTTGCACCTTTCTGCTTGTGGGGACGACTGAGCTGACTATGGGGACACACGTGGAGTGCTCGTTGGGTGCTCGCGCCTTTGCCGCCAGGTCACCCTTCACTTGTTGGGCGCTTTTTGCGAAGAGTTGCTGAGCCTTGGCAAAGAGAGTTTTTGCCTTTGATACTCTGGGATTGCTTGGTTTGGTTTGACCCCACTGCAGCCAATTGAAGGATAATGAATAATTCATATTCTAGTTATTATGGCATAAAATATATCTTTTTTCGGGGCAGGGTTGCAAAAAGGACCGCCATGGACCGTCAGCTTCCAAGTCCTCCGCCCAAGGCAAAAGCTCCTGTGCCCGCGCGCGCAGGAGGCGGTGCCCTTCGCTGGCGCGGGCCTCTCCTCGGGCGTGGCACAGGTGGGTCGCTGGCTGGACACACTGGCGACGGGTGCTGCCGGGGGCGACGAGTTCCGGGAGGTGCTGGCGGGGCTGAAGAAGGGGCCGAAGGGGCCGAGTGATGCGGCCGCTTGGAAGGAGTTGGAGAGTTTTGGAAATCAGAGGAGGGGGGCAGGGAGGTGAAGTGTTTGAGATTGATGAGGGGTTGGAAGATGTTGGAACATGAAGGTGAGCAAGCAAAAGACCGTGAGAAGCAGCACACACGAGGGGTTGGCCTGTGGAAGAATGATTGACGTGAACTGTTGGGGGGCGCTGGGGGGGTCACTCGAATTGGTCCTTGGCTTTCGACCAATTGGATAGGCTCTACACGGTCAACATATTGTCAGAAGGACAGCAGATTCTACAGCCTGCAGCCCACATTGCTCATAAAGCAAGGTGGGGAGGAAGTTGGTCATTTTTCTACCTGCTACTGCGGCTGACACTAAGGTCTACTCTCTTGTTGGACCATGGCCATGCCTGTGTCTGAAAGGAACAGCTCTCTCACACCTGGGGTCACCTCCCACATGTCCCCCACCTTACCGTCTCCCCAAGGCCGCGAAGGAAGCTCCCGAAGGCACAGCGATCTGCGTGCTTTCAGCGGAGGAGAACGAACTGACGAACCGTTCGTCCGAACTCGGGGTTCGGTGCTGTGCTGCGGCATTTGTTTTTGTTTTTTTTGTTTTTTTTTTTTTTTTTTTTCGGATGGCAAGGAGTTCTTCTGGTAATCAAAGGTCGAATCCGTCTTGGTGGTTCGTGAGGAGAACAACAGAAACTTGTGTCATGTATCCACATTGTTCTCTTGGCAACGCGTGGCAAAACTAAAACGAACATAAAAGAACTCCTTTTTGTGGAAACATACCAGGGCCCCCCAAGTAGGGGTGCTTTATGAAGTTGCTATTGGAAAATCAACCCTTGATATTTAAATGATGATGGTCCATCAATGATGGTATTTTCTTTGATCTATGGTGTGCCTTTATGGCTGGGATGGTGTACCATTTTTTATTGCTATTGTTATTTGATTTCCTCATCATTTTAATGATAACTTCTTGGATGAGGAAATCATAAGAGACAAAGACAAATATATATATATATATATAGATGCCAATGAATTATTAGTATAATGATATTTTCATATATAATTCAATAGCCCGTGTACAGTCCCTTGCTTTGACCCCAAACACGGGGGCTAGTACGGAGGCTTTGGTAGTGGCTTTGGTATAAATCCATATGAATTGACTGATGGGACGTCCTAGATCGACCCCGGAACTCAGTCCTGTGGCAGTCCGCCCACTAACACGTCGGACGTCTGGGAATTCCATGGAATTCATGGAGCATCATTCATGGAGCCGCCCGCTACGGGTCGGATCCTCTGTGCAACAGAGGAGATCAGCAGCGCAGTGACCTTGATGACCTCTGCTCAGAGCATGGTGTGGCTTGCTTGGAGGTATACATGGACCGTGTTTGAAGGATTTTAACTATAAGTTGAAGAGTCATCAGGAGAGAGGAAGAGCCAAGAATGGTTAGTTGTATTTGTTGTATTTTCATTTGGAGTTGCGGACTATATGACTTGTTTGGTAGAAGGGGAAGCCAGATTCGATCATTGTCCCTGTGTTCCTGGTTTTTCACCACTCATTCCCGAGGCGGCAGACGTTGCAAGCAGCAGCCTTGCCATTGGACCAAAGACTTCAAGAAGAGGCCCGATTTCCACCACCTCGCTTTCGTGGCATTCGTTTCCACGGCGTTCGGTTCTCCGATCGCCAGATCTGACCGCCCTTCTCCGAGCGGAGGGATCCAGGGCCCGACGACGCTTGGAAGCGGAAGCCGGTCGTGGATCAAAGGCGAGACGATGAACCGGGATGGAGATGGGTCTTCCTTTCCGGCAGCCCTTCGGAACCCTTCGGGTTCAACCCTTCGGGTTTTCCAAACGGCCCCAACATGGTGAACCAAACATACAAGCCCAAAGGGCGCCCGGATCTATATCAATCTCCCTCTCTCTCTGCCTTTGGACGCCCCAAAGCTCTCAAGCCTCGCCAGTCAGATCTTCCCCCCTTCGTCCGCCAGGTGCCCGGATACGAGCGCTTGCTTCTGTCCAGCGACTTGCTGGGCAGTGACTTCAGTCGATTTCTCGAAAGGCGATTGAAGCTGGCGTGGCCTGGAGAAACCTATTACCCAGACACTCCATGGGACTGCCATATATGCCGATCAGTTGGGGTGGTTTGGGGGGTCAATGTAGGCATATATGGCAGTCCCATGGAGTATTTGGGTTTAGGTTGTTTGTTTTTTTTGTTGGCTGGTGTAATGCCTTAGATGTTCTTTGTGAGCTCAGACATTTGCCAGACCTGGACTTGAGGACTATTGTGGACTTGAACGCAGAATGGCCTAACGGCCTAATATCACTTCGGCTCTATCGCTCAGGAAGTCGATGAGCAAGGAGGAAGCGATGAGATTAATGAGCTTGAGCTTTCATGATGAGGCGAGGCGGAGCGAGATCCAAAGGCAAAAGTAGTAGGCACAGATGTGGAGTTGTTTGTGAAGTTCTTTTCTTGGAGGAGTACAAGGTCGACGCTCAGGTTGCTGCGTATGTGCGGTTGGGGCGCACAGACTTTGCGGGTGTGTCGGCCGAAATAGTGCATGGTATAGCCATTGTAGTCAATCAGGTTGGGTGATTTTTTAGCGTTGTATGAGAGTTTAGAACAGATTCAGATATCGGCGTAGAGAGTTTGGAGTGCTTCAAATCGTGTTCTGTGCTGGAAGGGTTTACAAAGGACCAATAATTAATATAGATCAACCATATTGTATAACATATTATATTATATTCTTATATATACAGTACGTATATGGTTGTTTTCGCACAAACCATGTCTTTTGGTTGAAGGAATGCATGAAGCCATGGATATCCATCAGATCGCCAGTACAAGTTCCTGTGAGGGGGCTTGCGCAAGTTCCTTTTTCCTTCCCACATTCGACCTACCCAGCTGGTCAGCTGGTTTCATGTGGATGATGTTATTTGTTCGCGTCATGAGCGGTGCCCTTGCCTTTGGCCTTTGACACCTAGACCCCCAACCGACTTCCTTCATCTTCCTTCCCAAGCGATGGATTGTCAAGAGTCTTTACCCAGCAACCATTGTGTGTGTTTCTGTAAACCTATATAGGGTTTACATTCCAAAGCCAGGTGTGTCGAACATCGTCTTGGAAGGAGCTTCATTTCTAAGCTCCCACTCTCCCTTCCCCCCCCCAAAAAAAAACACGGCGCCAGGCTCTCCCGAGCGAGGACGCCTGGCGGATTCTGAGCGCTGGATGAACCAAAGAATCCACGCCCGCAGCCGAGGGGTCGATGGACCGGTCGAAGCGGACGCGACCGACGAAGGGGCGAAAACGGGCATCGCCGAAACGAACGGAATCCAAGGTTCGCTCGACGTTCTCGGGGGCTCCGTCCCAGGTGCCGATGTGGGTTGCAGCGACGGTCGACCGATGCGTTGGTGTCGGTACGACTCGGAGGTCGACGCAACACGACTCGGAGGTCGACCGCAGATGGAATGAGGGAACTGTGAGCTACCAGGACCCTCCAAGGGGTGTCCAATGGACTACCCCACACTGCTACCTATAGGCTTCCATTGGGCACCCCTTGGAGGGTCCTGGTATTTTTGTTATTTGATCCTTTTAGAGGTCCGTGTGATGGTAGTTCAGATCTGTCGAAGATGTTGGGACGTCCTATCGGTGATGCACGGTGAGGGCTTCGAAAGGCGGTACCAAGACCAAGAGAGGTTAAATGACCTTATTATAGGACCCTACTGGGGTACCTATGGGATAGTCTATGGCGGGTTCTTCAACCTCTGTTGGGATCTTTGCAAGAATCAATTCGCTAAGACATTTTGCTTGGCAGGGCTTCCATCGATGTCGATCGCATGGTCTTTGATCGCGTTTGTTCGGCCATCAATCGCCCAGCAGGTTCGATTCATTTGCTTCGAGTCATCTTGAGTCAGGCTGAATCAGATCAGCATTCTTGAGGCCTAGGGCTGGAACAAAAACACCCATCTCAGAGACCACGGTGAAACCGATGGAAACCGCAGGGCGGCTTGCCATGTGAAGGCGGCAAAACAAAATCCTCTTCAGGCACATCAAATGCATTCAAATGCAATGAAACAAACATAATTGATGAGTGATGGATAGATCAACAAATGCACCCGTGGATAGATCACTGAGGCCATGATCAAAGGATATCAAAGGCATCCAGGGCTGTTTCAAACCCGCAAGCAACACACATGGCATCAAGTGACCATCAAGGCACATCAATATAACATCAACTGACCATCATGCTGTGACCATCATGCTGAAACCTTGCTGAAAGCTGTGAACCTTCAGAGAAGAAGGGTGTTCTGCCCCCGGCCACGTGTCCGCTCGCTCCGGCTTCGACGAGTGAGTTGGTCCGACTGCGGCCATCCTTGCCCCCATGCGCCATGGCAAGGGGTGCAGGCTGTTGATTGGAAGTGTCCTTCACCTGAGATGGCATGTGCAGAAATCGCAGTGCATTCTGACCCCTCAAAAAGAGGGTCACTCCGATGAACACCGAAACCATGGAAGGTGGAAAACCCCCTGGTTCGTAACGTCGTCTTCCTTTCGGGGCCATGCCATCCTGCATCATCCTGCCATCCACTTCCATGGTTTCTGTGTTCGTCAGAGTGTACCTCTCCCTGTTGTTCGACATGTTCCTTCAGATTTCTCAGAACCCCCATCGACCTGTCCCCTTTCCCTTTCCCGCCGGTGTTGTGGGAGGTCGCCGGCTGGGCGTACTACTGGGACTCAGCAGCCAAGTCGATGGGATGACGCCCGGACTGCTTTCAGCTTGCGTCCAGTGGGGAGAAGTTGTTGTTGAGTCTGGGTACCTTGCCCAAGTGGCCGAACTTTTCATGGTGAACTGTTCCATAATTGTCCATATCCATTTGGAGCTCATGATTTTTCATCTCACTTGACCGGGTATTGTTTTTGTGCATCTTATTTGAGAATTAGCAGGTGGGATCCTTGGCGACTCCTTGTTTCAGACACCGGGATTGACTGGGCTGGACTTGGTTTGTTTGGATGTTCATTTTCACCTACCAGGACCTTCAAAGTGACCCTTTGATATCCCAGGATGAGGTCACTTAGGTCTGTACAAGGTCACTTAAAGACTCCAAAGAGGTCACTTTGAAGGTCCTGGTATATAATCCCAAATCCAATATAGGATTCAGGATGACCATCGTCCTAATCAATGCCGCCTTGCCGCCTTCCCGCGCGCGGCGTGTCCGCCGTGCATGACGAGTTGGAAGTCCAGAAACGGGACACCTGACGAGTTGCGAGGCGAATTCGTTTTGTCATGGTGAGTGAAACTTTATGTTTTCCCAGTTGCAAAATGTTTTTTAGTGGCTGGGACCGTTTCTGGGTCATATGATAACTAGACGAAAGAAGTGCGGCAGTGCCAAGAAAGATGCAAGTTCCATGATTCTTGGAGGACGAGGAGACGTCCATTTGTTTTTCTGACACTCATGTCATGAAAAGGAGACTGGATGAGCTCATCACTTCTGGGTCAGGTCGCTCATGTGCGCCAGAAGTGCGCAAGAACCCACAAGAAGCAAGTCCAGTGGGAGGAACTTCGCCGATGTTTGTACTTCGCCGATGTGTTAATATAGACATGGGGTGCGTTGATGCGGTGCTCGGGTGCTTGGGCGCTCGCCCTGGCTGCTGAAGATACATGGCCAGCTCCCGGGCCAAGCAACGGATTCAACCCAACAGCGCTGGAGGAGGTGGTTTGGAACGGTATGAAGTGGAATTCGACGGGGCGAGATGAAGAAAGGACCAGACCAGACCTATATATCCCAGACACTCCATGTGTGCCATATATGCCTACATTGGGGTGGTTGGGGGGTCAATGTAGGCATTTATATGGCATACATGGAGTGTCTGGGTATGACAACACTCGCTGAAGACATCACAGCTCCACACTCCCTGAAGTCCATTGATCGTCGAAAAGTCACCTGGCTGCCTGGTCTTCGTTTGATTCGAATGCAGGAGACAACCATCCGCTTGGATTAAAGACATGTCGACGAGGTCGTACCTTCCCAGAATTGGTTTAGGAGATTTTAAGATAAAAATCTGCAAGAAAGCCACAAGCTTGGGATGAAAACACGGGTTTCCTACAGCTTTTCCCTTAAACTAATTCATTGATACCTACGTGTTTGAGGGTTGGTGATACCTGCACGCAGCTCCCACAGGGAACTCCCTAATGCCCCATGGGTGGGTCAATGGAGCCCACGCAGCGGGACCATCAGGAGCTGTTTCTCAGAGATCAAATTCGGCTGGTGCGAGCTCCATGGCATCAGGAAATCTTTGGATTGAGAAAAAGCCGGGAATGCATCCAAAGTGAATCAACATCAATCAAAGTATTGATATATGTATTGATGTATTGATATTGAAATCATGCCTTGAACTGGCAAATAGACCTCAAAGACCATCAATGGATTCATATATCGAGTTGTTTCTTACATCCGCTCGGAGCCAGGACTGTTTGCGGGTCTTTGTTGGACTCCGTGCACTGACGGATAGGTTTGCTGTTGAACCAGGACTGAAATCCATGTGGTTGGCCCCAAAGAAACACAGACACACACACATGAACCTACCAACAGAGGTTGAAGAACCCCATAGACTATCCCATAGGTACCCCAGTAGGGTTTAACCTCTCTTGGTATATATCTGATCAGAACATATATTAAAATATAGTGTACTGTAGAGTCTTGATTAATAACCACCCGTTTGATTTGGACATCCTCTTCTAGTGGGGTGGTTATTAATCAAGAGTCTACAACATTCTGCCAAGAACACTGGTCGTGTAGCGAAACAACCAGATTCAGGAGAGTTCTCTCCTGCACCCACCAATAGCAAGAAGGACCAATGCACAGTGTGGCCAGAGAAACCCCTTTATCATCTAAATCCAAGTCCACCAAGTTGACGTCTACCAAGTCCAGCTGAACTCCTTCAGATTTGGCTCCAACAAGTGATGCAGATCGAATGCCTTTGATATTTTGACATTTGGGATGTTTTGGCTGCGGCTTGCCCAGGGCGTCAGAGCTGGCCTCAGAGCTGTCATGGCTTGCCAAATGACTCCAAGGTTGGCCAACTCCCCCATTTTCCCCCAAAAAATGAAACACGCGGACCAGACTTGAAAGGACTGTGAAACTGAATATAAGCGGCCGCAAGAAAAAGGACACCAGGTCATTCATATATATGGAGTTAGACACCCAAATCCCAGCAAATCCTGATTTTTTTCATCAATCCATCTAAATCATCACATGTAATCACCCAAAATGACCGGTTTCTTTCCCAAACCCCTCTCAGCTCGATCGAACGATCAGGTTCAGTTCGATCGATCCCAGTCAGCCTCCCAGCTGCCCGGCTCCTGGGCAGGTTAAGACCACTGGCTTGGCTTGGATGGAGTTGGCTTGATGGATAGGGGCAGAAAGACAACTGGTCTTCAAGACTGATGGATAGGGGTGCAGACTGATGGATGGATATGGAGTTGGCTTGATGGATAGGGGCAGAACAAAAACTGGTCAATCGGATGTGCAAAGAAGCTTGAAGATGTGCAGGTCTTGAAGATGAGGGGTCAGTTTTTGCTGTGGCATGTGGTCTTGAAGGGTGTATAGAGAAGCTACGACGATCTGAAGGCGTCTCCAGAGGAAAGTGCATCATAAGATTCAATTCCAAAATACCTCGGTAGCATATATGAATGATTAGAAAAATAGCAATCCTATTCCCAGCTGCGCGCGCGACGGCCAGCTTTGCACCTTGCCCATCCCTCTCGCATTGGACTGGTTGTCTTGGAAGGGTATCAGAGGGTGTGTGGATCCTTAGGCGACTCACATGTCCCCCGGGGGCGGGTACTGATACTGCGTATAAGAAGGGCGCCAGCTGCCTGGCTCCAAAAGAGGTCCCGGACCGGACAGAGGCCTGCAGGTCGGAACTTTGCTTTCCAGTGTATAAAGTCGAGTATTGACATGTGACTGATGATCCCTGTCTGTGTTGGAAGCTCCAGGGTCTTGTTGGCATCTAATGGGGCAAGCATACCGTAGATGAAAGTCATTGAACATCCGTTTTTTTTCTTTTAGTAATATGCCTTAAGCTCGGCCCTACAAGGGGGCCCTACAAGTCGGGCTAGGTCGTTGCAAGATCAGGCTCAAATTCAGGAAGGGCTCGCCAACTCAAGAGATTGATTGGAGATGCAGACGACTCAAGTAACATTGATTGGCTGTGGATGCGGGCGCCAGACCAGTCAAATCCCGAGAGAACTGCCCTACAATTGGATATCATATTTTTGTGCAGTTTCGCCAAAAGAGAGGCTGTGAATCTAGCACAGCCTACCGTTTTAGGTTCGGCCACTGAAAATGAGAGAATCCATCCTAAGAAGGTCAGACGAAGGACGGCCCAAGTCACTCGCCCACCCTTCGCGGGGTGTCCGTCTCTCTAGATCCCAGTCGTCACGCCTTCGTTTCAGCACCCACTCAGTCGCCCGCTCCTTGATGTAGGGAAGCCCCTCTTAGACTTAGATAAAGAATACGAGCGATGGCCTCCAACCTAGCGACAGACCAGCGAGATTCGGATCCCTTTCTCTCCACGGTGCGCACCGTGCATGGCGCTGACAGTGCCCGTACCCGGCCCATCGGGCCGGCGTGGCGTGAAAGTGGGACGGCAATTTTCGAGCCCATCGCTCAACGTGATCTTGAAAACCCTCAATCCCTTACAAATTCCGGAGATCATAGGACCGGGTCTGGGTGGGATGGGGATGGGGCGATTTCGAGCGAGCAAGAGCGAGCCAGTCTTCTCCTTTTAAAGGGCCGACAGACAGGGGAATTGATGTTCAACATGTTTCAAACAAAACACAGGCAAATTCTACAATATATTTGAATACTGGTAATGTCCAGCCATAAACAAATGTGGAGCCGGGTGTCTCGGGCACTGCTCGGCTAGAAGGGCTCTGAGAGTTTGTTCCTTAAGACTTAAGACATTAACAAAGACTAACTAGTAGCTTCTGGCTACTTGTAGTAATGGCCTCCAACCTAGTAGCTTCTTGCTACTAGTAGCTTCTCATGATTGCATAGACTTTCAAGATGCCTCACATGAGGCTCATCAATGGCCTTCTTGGTCTCCCTGATGTTCACCAAGAAGAGGTCTTCCTGCCGTTCTCACTGAACCCTGGTGTCACCGGGTGACATAGGGTGGCATGACCAGGAAGGTGCCCTCAATCTTGTCAGATTCAACTCCAGACTTCGAGGCCGTGCAAGTCAGCACCTTGTTCTATATATGTTCATCTTAAGGGTTCCATCTCAGGCCCCGTTCATCCGTGTCGAATTTTGAACACCAAGAACACACCCCGCAGCATCGATCCCGTTTGGCGCAGCGAAAAACTCTTTGACACTCTTCACGACCCACAAACAAGGCTTGGGTTCCTGTCTCGCACTGGCCAGCCTCGTGCCAGCACGCTTGCAGGAGCCGCGGGTACATCAGCCTCGGAGGATTCCTCTTCCGTAGGAGATCCGGAGAAGGAGCCGGCGGCCAAGATGGAGTTGGTGGAGGGTGAAAGCGGTGAAAGCGATGAAAGCACCTGTTTTCGACAGTCGGGGGCACCCAAGAGGGTTGAAAACACGCAGCACCTCTGTGGTGCAAAGAAACCATTCTGCTCCGGTGGAGTTTCTGGTGAAACCTGAGGTCCAGCGCCGTGTGAGGTGGACAGGGGTCAAAGCTGAGGTGTTTTCATGCCGAGGTGGAAGAAAGAATAACGTTGTTATGTATTAACTTATGTATAGTATAGTATGTTGTTTTGGTGTGACGGTGATCAATGAGGAAGGATGGCCTGGGGCTGATACGTGCTAAAAAAGTGTACTACCTTTTTTTGTGGCTTGTCCGCTTGAAGCAGAACTGTAAGACCAATGATGGAGGTGTATATGCACCTTGGCCAAAAAGAAGGTTTGGTTCGTTCCGCATGGAGACACATCATCCCCAGCCTCACGCCAAAAGCAAGGGCAGTGGGACCTATCATGGTACATTCCTGGTACACACGCTCGAAAGCCATTCCAGCCATGGACTGGAAGCCATGAAACAGCCATAGAAACATGGAAGCACCCATAGAAACAGCTGGAAAACAGGTGGAACGGTGGAACAATTATATACTCAGAACCCAGAACAATTAAACAACAATGGCCGAAACTGATCCCCTTTTCCAGCCGCTTTTCAGTGAATGGCTGCTTATGAATCTCAGCCTCCAACCCCCCCCCCCCGAACCGCTCTCCTTATCTCTCCAAACAGACCCCACAGCCCCGCCCCCACACAAGCCCATCGCCAGGAGCTTCGAACCGAGCTGGAACCGCATTTGTTGAGGGCGGTGCCGTTGCACGTGGCACTGGGCAGGTGCGGAACACATTGGTACAGCGCGGAGCCTCGGTTTCGCCGGCATCGGGTCGGGGAGTGGGTTTGGTCGGAGCTGGAGGTCCGTGAGGGCGTCTAGATGTTTCTTCTTTGATGTTTGATATGTTTGTTTAAATATGTTAAGTCTGATGAGTCTGATGATGATGTAAACGTCTAGATTCTTAAACGTCTGATTTAAACGATGATTACTTAAACGTTTGATGATTATGATTATTTAAACGTTGTCAATAGGGATGGGGTCCCAGTATAGTCGCTATACAGGTACGTGCCATATACTTTTGGCTCAAGTGCCCAACCAGGTAAAAAGGAGCTTTAGCGCGCGAGCTTCATGTTGACCTAAGAGCTAGAACGGGGCCAGGGCACACCTTTCCATCCGTTCGCAGGTTATCAGCCGTATCCAGACTCCTTTGAGCTGGGTACGAGCTGCGGCCTTACACAACACCATCTAAACGCACACGCATCGGATAGATCAGTTACCCTCAGTCACTGAAGATGGACCAATCCGACGCCAGCACTGCATCTTTTGGAGCAGCTGCTGCGGCCGCAGATCGGATGAGTGCATCCCACAACTCTAGTCCAGGTACGATCGAAGCGGAGACTCTGACAGTGGTGAGAGAAGTTGCGACAGGTAGAGCACGAAGTCGTTCCCCGTCAGCGCAATCGACACCACCGGGGGGGACACCGAGATCAGGCCGTAGCCCTAGGGAGACAAGGAGGAGGACTGACACCGGAGCTGTGAGAGTGTTAGCATTGCAGGATGGGTCAGCTGTACCAGTGCCGTCGGACAGCGAAGCTGGAGATGGGGCAAGGGCAAGCACTGACAACCTACAACTAGCACGGGCCGATGGAGACCTGAATGCGAAGTGTGCGCAACTACTTGCCGAAGTGCATATGTTGAACCACCAAAACGCATGGATGGTCGAATGTGAGCAGAGACAGAACCAGATTATACAACACGAGACCGAAGTCCACGAAGTAGTGATGGCACACCTCGAAGAATGTTATGTCGAAGGGTATGGAAATCAACGAAGAATCTCCCAACTTACAGAATCCAGAGACTGTTTGCTCTCAGCAGCACACGATCTGCAATACCAGATGGACACTGATCGTGTGGCAATGCGGGATCGTCTCACCCAGTTAGGGGAGTACGCTGATCGCAACAGCGCAGAGATGGTTAGTCAAGTTGTGAACATCGGCACGGAAGAGATCCAGGCTATATCGGCGGAAAGAGATCGAGCTGTAACCGAGGTCATGACTACAATCGCAGATGCTGAGAACGTCAAGGATCTGTGTAGACAGGAGTTGGTTGGACTACAAAGGCAGAGTGCCAGAAACAAACACGAATATGCTGAGGAAATGAAGATGAGGGAAGCAATGTATGCAAACAAGATCAAATGGTTATCAGAAGAGAATGAGGAGCTCAACAACCGATCTAATACTCAGGATAAGTTCATCTTGAGCATCAGAGAGCAATTGAAGAAGGCGAACGAGGAGTTGACTCAGACGAGGATTCAAGGATCCGATCGACCGTTTCAACCATCTAGCGCCGAACTCAAGAAGGCCGAAGCCAAGGTGAACATGTTGGAAGAGGACATTCTACGTAAAGAGAGGATGCTGAAACGTCTTCAGGAAGAATTGATCGAATCAAGCGCAAGTGAAGCACAATTGAAGGTCGCACTGAAGTTGAAACCACCAGACATGGGATCAGAACCCAGTGTGGAGAATGAGATGATGACCAAGCTTAGAGCGGAACTTGAACGTACTGAAAAGTTATTAAGGTCCGAGGAGAAAGAGGCAATTGAGTACTACGAAGGTATGATGCAGAACCAACAGGACATGATGGAATTCGAAGCGCATGCATCACGGCTCAGAGATGAGAGGAATAAGTACCGGAAGAGGTACGAAGAGGAGCGCATAAATGCAGAGAATGCAGCCGCAACCGAACATGGTGCCGCTTCATCCTCTAGCTCAGG